ATTATTTACTATCATAAAAAATACACAAATTATAAGGCTAAAATTTATCAAGACTCACGTACACAGTATAGACCATACATAGCACCATTCACATGTAACATTCAAATGCAAACAAATATTAAGAGGCAGTATTAAATCACAACTGCCTAAAACAGTAGTACATATTGCGCTACTGTAATAATTTCATAGCCACCTCAGGTTGCTATTGCAGTGAGCTCAAGTGTGATGAGCATCTGCTAAAACACTGTGATGCTAGTCATCTTCACATGAGCAGTCCTCTCCACAGTAAATAGCCTTGTACTATAGTAAAAAGTAATCCCTTGTAGTTTTTGCTTATTTTTCATCATGTTTTGTGCAATACCACAAACCTTGAATAACACCATGGGACCTATCTGAAATGCCACTAGTGATGCTAGAAGTCCTCCCAAGAAGCAGAGAGACGTCCTAAGATACTGGTTGAGGTCTGCTACAGTTGCCTGCCATTTCTAGATAAATGAATCCAGGGTAAGAATCATGGTAAAAAAAAAGAAAAGGAAACTTGTAAAACCACTGCTGCAGATATGCCAGCAGGCAGGAAAACCTTGAACTTTTTGCAAAATGCCTTTAAAAAAAAATTTCTTGCAGAGACAGGAACTTAATATGTTGCCCAGCCTGGTCTTGCATGCCTGGTCTGAAGTAGTCCTTTCACCTTGGCTTACCAAAGCACTGGGATTACAGATGTGAGTCACCACAACAGGCAACAAAATATCTTTTTATCTTGTATTGAAAATGTAGGTTTAATGTGGGTGCAAGATTATTATTAAAAAAGCATACCTATAGACTCTAATGCAATTTGAGAAATCACTGTATGACAATTTAAGCAAAAGGAAGGTGAAGGAACTAAAGTTGGAAAATTAATGCCAGCAAAGGATGGTAATTTTGAAAAGAGGCTGGCTTAAAAAATTGTCAAGATAATAAAAGCAGCTTCTGCTGACCAAGAAAGGCAGCAGATGAGTTCCCAGATGCTATTAAGAAAATTACTAAGGAGAAAGAATATCTGCACAGATGGAAGTGCCTTATTCAGGAGGGGAAAAAATGCCACGAAGGACATTTATTAGTAAGTAAGAGATATAGGCACCAGGATTTGAGAAAGGAATAGGCTAAGTCTACTGTTTTGTGCAAACACCTTCGGGTTTATGATCAAGACTGCTCTTGTCTATAAAGCTGCTAACCTCTGAGTCTTTAAGATAAAAGATAAAAAACCAGCTGTCAATCTTTTGGATCTACAACAAGAAGGCCTCAACAATGAAAACCCCTTTTCTGGACTGGTTCCATCGATGCTTTGTCCTTGAAGTGAGGAAGTACCTTGCCAGTAAGGGACTCCCTTTTAAAGTTTTTTTTTTTTTTATATTGGACAATGCCCTTGGCCAGCCAGAACCCCATGAGTTCAGCACCAGTGATGTCAAAGGGTCCACTTGCCCTCTACCACAACATCGCTAATTCGGCACAATCATGGGGTCATAAAGGCCTTGAAGACTCAGTACACAAAGTACTCTCAGAATCATCAGCATTGTGGAAGAGTGAACATCATGGAGCCTGCATAAAGCAGCAGTACCTATTGCAAAGGGAGAAAGTCCGAAAGGATTACACCACTGAAGACGCCACTGTTGTTACAGAAAAAGCTGTGAAAGCCATCAAGCCTGAAACAATACATTCCTCCTAGAGAAAACTGTGTCCAGATGTTCTGCATGACTTCATAGGATTAATGACAGTCAATCAAAGAAATCAGAAAAGACAGTGGATCAGGCAAAAAATGTGGAGGTAAGAGTTTCAAGATTACAGATCTTGGAGAAATTCAAGAGCTAACAGCGCCAGAGGAGTGAACAGATGACTTAATGGAGATGAGTGCTTCCAAACCAGTGCCAGACAATGAGAAAGGCACAGAAGCAGTACCTGAAAACCAATTGTCCAAAGGGTTCTGACTACTCAAGACTGGTTTCACATTTTGATGACCTGACCCTTCTACGATTTGGGCACTGGAACTAGAGCAAATGATGGAAGAAGGATTGGTACTGTATAGAAATATTTTAGAGAAATGAAAAAGTAAAATAGACAGAAATTAGGATAAATTTCCATAAAACACCAGAGCGCATCTGCCCCACCTTTCTCCCCTTCTACCTTGTCCGCCATCCCTGAGGAAGCAAGACCAACCCCTCCTCTCCCTCCTCCTACTCAAGGTGAAAACAGTGAGGATGAAGACCTTTATGATGACCCATTTCCATGCAATGAACAGTAAATATATTTTCTCTTTCTTATGATATTCTTTAACATTTTCTTTTGCCTAGCTTACTTATCGTAAGAATACAGTACATAACACATATAACATACAAAATATATGTTAATCGACTGTTCATGTTATTAGCAAGGCTTCCTGTCAACAGTAAGTTATTAATAGTTAAGTTTGGGGGAGAACTATCATAAAAACAAAAAACCGAACACTACATGTTCCCACTCATAAGTGGGCCCTGATTCCTGGACAGACTAGCACAAAGGTGGGAACAGACACTGGACCTGCTAAAGGAGGGAGGAAGGAAGGTGGGAACAGCAGAAGCCGGACACTGCTAAAAGTGGGAGGGAGAAGGAATGAAGGGCACACAACCACACATTGAGTATGGGGTCCACTACACCCATCTATTTTCCCCACTGTGAACTCAAAGACTACAGAGACTAAGTATTTTTTCTCCTGTACCCTAAGCCCTTTGCCCACATCCTGGAATTTAGTATGTCCTCAATAAATGTTTAATTAATGGCACATCTAAACATATAACTTTTAACTCTTCCCTTCCATTAATACTTTATTTATTCCAATGTTTTATACTCAACTTTGTTAAGTATAGCAAGTTCAAGTATTTGGAATTATTTGGGAACAAAGGCTTTATCTGCTTAAAAAGAACTAGAAGGCAGATAAAATTAATTTATTTCATGATAATGTTATGCCAGCAATATATCCTAATTTCATGAATGTTTTAGTGTGTATATTGGTCATGCTTCCCAAATTATAGTTCAGGTTGGAAGATAATTCTTTAGCTATTGTAATGAGGCTAACAAAGCATCACTTCCATCACCTTAAGAAAACCAAAGCATTAATACAGCAGGAAACAAGACGCTACATAAGTAAAGAAGCCTATAAAATGAGGCCATTATATTACATAAAATAAGCCAGGCACAGAAAGACAAATAAGGCAATATCTCATTCATACGTGGAATCTAAAAGAGGTGATCTCACAGAAGTAGAGAAGCCAATGGTGGTTCCCAGGGGATGGGGTGGTTGCAGAGGGCATGTTATTCAGTTAGGAGGAATACATCTCAAGAAATCTCTTGTACAGCATAAGTTTACAGCAATGAGACTACAGTTAATGACAATGTACCGTATTTTTTTTTTAATGTAGAGAGTGGATGTTATGTGCTCTTACCACAAAATGAAAACTATGTGAGGTAATTAATGCATTGTTAATGAACTAGATTTAACCATTCCACCATGTACCTCTGCTTCAAAACACCTTATTTTACATGATAAAAACAATGTTATCTGTTAAAAAATAATAAATATATGTAGTATTTCAAAGTTTTCAGGGCATCAAAAATATTCAAGAAGTTTCTATTTGATATTGGACTGCTTTACTGCTTTTTGGTTTGGTCTCCCCAGTGCTTAATTGCCACAGGACAAAATTAGTGCTTACCATTTCATGTGTTCATTATAAGAACTCTGTTGTCTTCTGCGCGTTATTAATCCTATCTCCCCAGATGAGATTTTTATTACTACTGGTCTAAAATGACAAGATTAGGTCTAGGCAGTCAGTAATCACTCATCAGAGATTTGAGGATATAAAAGAAACCTTGCGCAAAACTTTCCAGTTGATATACTATTAAATAGTTAAGATTTCTTCTTTTTTTCTAAAGTTGGTTCTTTAAAAATTAAAATTTAAAAAACCTCCCAAAATGAAAAACTCCAGTTACTACATACCAACACTAACTTCTATTTATCGAATAGAATCAACCAAAAAACTTTAACACGTCATTGAGATTTAAAACAGCTCAATGGTAAGAATTTTAATGAGGTTTGAATATATTTAAAAGGTATCACAGATCCCTGTCAAATAACAACTTAGTAGTGCAGGAATGATTTGTGAGTCCTTTTTAACTTGACACTTTTTAGTCACGAACACTTTTAAAAATCACTTACTCGCCCACCTCCTCCCCGCTCAGTTTGGAGAATATTTTAAAGTCAAAAAGCATAGCTCTAAATAACATACTTTTACACACATACAATTCATATTCTAGCAAGAAGACTCCCGATTCAGAGTTCACAAATTTTAAAAAGTACGTAGACATCTAATTCTTCCTAGCGGTTTTTTTTTGGGGGGGGGGGGTGTTGATGGGAGGGAAGAAAGAAACCCCAAGTATTTTCTGTTATTTGCAGCTGCTTTAACAGCAAACGACAATTAAATGTGTGAAGAAGGTTGTCAGACTAACACTTGTCATTCACACCGCCCAGGGACAGCCCTCCGAGACTTCCAGAAGCACTCATTAAAATGAACGAAAAGCGTCTCGCCGGGACGTGTCCGAGGGGCGGCTACTGTCAGGCTCCGGAAAACCAAATCCGTCCCAAGTTCAAGGGTTTTCACGCCGGGGTCGAGACCCAGCCTGCCCGCCACCACTAACGAACCATGCCCAGAGGTCAGCTGGCAAGCTTCGAACCTTTCCAGACAACACAAAATTCAGAAAATGACCACCTGGGGGGGCGGGGGAGGGGGGCAGGGGGGATTTTCTCTCCGAAATCGGAAGAAAGGGGAGAAGGAAAGAGTCTCCCCTCGACTACCGGGCGGAGAGAGGCGCCAGATGCCACGAGCCACGGGCGGATCAGTCCTAAGGGCGTATCGCTTCACCAACCTTCTCCATCACCCGACGTGAATGGAGACACTCAAGACCAGAAGCGCGTCAGATGACGCCAGAGGACCCACCTCCGGCCCCCGGGAACTCTGGAGACCCTTACCCGGGACTCAGGTGGGCCTTTCTCACCTGGACCCCGCAGAAGCCGGCCGTCGTTACGTGTGCGCACCTTTCAGCAATACGCCTCCCGATTGGCTGATTCGGGAGGCACGTCTCGGTCCTATTGGCTGCAAGAGCCGCCGTAGGGGCGCGGGGGCGGGAGCTCGCGGCCGGCTCCGATAGGCCGGCCGTGGGGGGTTCCCAGCGCTCCTATTGGGTGAACGCGGCAGGCTCCAAGATGGCGGCAGCGGCAACCTGCGGCGGCGGCAGCGCCGGGACTGCGGGGTCTGTGGTGGCGGCGGCAGCCGGCAGGGGCAACGTCACCAGCTTCCAGAGGAGGGGTCCTAGAGCCAGCGGGACCGACAGTGGCAGCCCTCGCCTGGCGTCCATTGCGGGCACGCGACCGTCGGTGCGGAACGGGCAGCTGCTGGTGTCCACCGGGCTGCCGGCCCTGGACCAGCTCTTAGGTCGGTTCGGAACGCAGGTCCGGGCCCCACGGAGGGAGCGCTGGGGGAGGGCACCTGTCGGGGGAGCCCGAGACCCCGCACCTCTCCCCCGCGACGCCTGAGCCCCCGGACGTGGAGGGGGGCGCTGGCGGGGAGGAAGGGTGGCCGGTGGGTGTGCCAAGACGCGCCGCCCGGCCCCGGCCCACCGGCTCCTCGGCGGATTCCGGCAGGATCCCTGCGTGCCTTTTGCCCCGAAGGGCCTGCTGGTCCGGGGGGAGCGTGGATGTGCGGAGGTGGTGCGGCTCCGGTTGGCGAGACTCCCCGGTCTCTGAGTCCGCCCTTCCGCCGAGGGAGCGCCCGCGGTCTGGACTCACCTGCCACAGTTTTTATCCAGGCTGCATCAGAGAACGCGGGGGGCGGGGGTGTTCAAAAGAAAAAGAGGAATGTCCGCTCTTTCACCGCCAGACTTGCTCATCTCCTGGTTCTAAGCCTTAAACTGACTCAAAGTCTCTAGAGCCTGCCCTTGATACCGGGAGAGCCATACCCGTCTGGCTCTGTGTGACATCTCTGTGTATACATTTTCGTTAGTTGTTGTCGTTGTTGTCTTTCCTATGGACGTTTTGCTTCCCGGAGTTGACGGCAGCCGCATTCCAAGTGACACCTTTAGATTTCATTCACATTTTAACGAGAAGCGAAGTCCAGTTCTTAGGCTTCCCTTTAAAGTTTCTGCAAATTTCAGTGAGAAGCCCGCTGGGGACTATGCATGTCTCATAGCTGGTAGAGTTGAAAGGATGGGCCAGATTAGATGGGTGGGACAGGTAGGCCGTGTGAGTAAAGCTTGTAGGTGAATTTCTCTTTGGATGCTGCTTCATTAAAACGGGTCTGTGTTTACATTTCGTAAGTCCTGTCGTGTTGTGTGATATGTGTCTGTTAAATCTTGTACACGTTCATCAAACATCGCAGATGCCATTGCTTATCCTTGTACTTTACTTGGCATTTTTCCTGTGTTAGTTTCGTCTCAAAGTAAGCTTTCCGAATAGGTTTAGTGCAGAAGACTGCAACCTATGAGAAAGAGTATGGCTTCTTGATTCTGTTGTTTCATCCCCTAACTGAATCCTGGTTATTTCTACATAAGATAAAGTATTTTCGCTTAATTGTTTCAAGTCTGTTTTCCTCCTGAGTTGCTTGATACTAGAAACATAAATTATTCAGGATATCTAGTTAGAAAATGAGTATTTAGTTCACCTTTTTTCCCTTGTGAACATCGGTTGGTGTCCTCCTGTATTTGAACTTTAAACCTGGAAGCTATTTCTAGTCTTTATATATCTTTATATTTTTTTAATTCAGTTGTGTTGTGTAAATTCATTCCCCTGATATGAAAACTGTCCAAACAGAAAGATTACGTTTTTGGTATTATTTCTTCAGATTCTCATTAAAATAACAGAGTAAGGCTGGCATCGTTCCTGGTACTTTGTAGTTCTCAATAAAGTTCTTGATTGAAAAAAAAGTAATGTGTAAAAAAAATAGACAAGAAATTATGAACTATGTAGGACTGAGTTACGTCTGAGCCCTAAAAACAGACTTAGAAATCAAGTGATTCGAACATTGTCACAAAACTGGTGACCGTGTAGTCAGATCTTTAGGCTCCAAATGTAGTGCACCCTGCACTATGCTACAGCTGCCTTAAATTTTTGAGAATTCTTCTCAGAAGGTTTTGACCATTTATTGAACCCAAGCTTAATGACTTAACTACTATCTCTTGAAGCACCCTCCAAAAAGAGAACCCAAAACGCCTTCTACATGTGTTATGACAGATAAAAACTTGAACAGTAATTTTTTTTTTTTTGAGTTGGAGTCTCACTCTGTCGCCCAGACTGGAGTGCAGTGGCCGCTCCTGGCCACCGCAGCCTTGACCTGCTGGGCGCCGGCGATCCTTCTGCCTCAGCCTTCCAAGTAGCTGGAACTACAGGCGCGCACTACCACGGCTGGCTAATTTTTTTTTTATTTATTGTAGAGATGAGGTATTGCCAAGTTGCCCAGGCGGGTCTCAAACCCGTGGGCTCAGGCAACCTCAGCCTCCCAAAGGCGCGGGATTACAGGCTGAGCCACCGAGCCCGGTTGAACAGTAATTTTTGAATCTTCCAGATTTGCTTGGGGATGGTGGCTCTAGTATTGTATTTGACTGTAACCAGCTTCTGCTAAAAATCAGTGTTCATTTTGAAGATTGAAACAGTATTAGTTTTCGAATATTTTGAAATACATTTTGCATGTATGCAGTTAATTCTCAAAGTGCACAGAAGTTGAAGAAGTTGTTATAATACGAGTTATTACATTCTGAGTAATAAATATGTCCAGAAATATTTTAGTTGTTAATTTCTTAATAACAGTTTAAAATTTTTATTTTCCATCTTGTGTGCTCCTATGTTGCAAACATTTACATTTGTTTTTCATTAAAACGTTATTGGAAAGTGAACCACTTAACTGTCAGTGTATATACACATAGGCATAAGCAATTTAGAATATGTTTTCACTCTAAGATGCTATTGGACTGAAATTTTGACAAGCCTAATGTGACCATATTATGACAAAATGTAATGACAGGATGTTATGGTATCAGAATGATAAGACTATACGGTGACATTGTGACTGCTGCCAGAATATGTGGTTACTGTGTAACAAGTAAATATTGTATTATAATCTCCATGTAGTACAGTGACATTTTACCGCTGCCACCATGGCATCATTGTAATTTTAAGCATAGATGCAAAATATGTTTGAAAGTCATTACAGAGACTAACTAATTGTTAGTCATTTGATGGCGTGCTGATATTTACACTGCTTACTTCAAAGTATTTTATAAAATAGAAAATTAACAGTATTTGCATCGTTCAAACATGATCTAATCATATTAGATATTTTTGTTCTGACAATATGATTTTATTTTTAGCTTTTGATTTCCCAAATTGGCTACATTTAAATTTTTGAAATGCTTAGATTTTCTAACCCATGTTCTCAGTCCTGTTCTTCTAGGATATTTATGTTGTTACTTGAGGTTACACTATACATAAATGACACTTGTGTCTCAGAAAAGGAAAGATATAATTTCATTTATCTTCTTCCAGGAATTTCTAAAGAAAGATAGCAGATACAGAATGTCTTTTCCTTTTCTTCTTATTCTTCCTAGGATATAATATAGTCCATTCTTCCTAGGATATAATATAGTCCATTTTAGGACTATGTGTTTGATCTGGGAGAATTTTCCCCAACTTCATCCTCCAAAAAGCTAATTAAAGGAAGGGTGATTTTGCAGGTTAGATTGGCTTAACCTCTATGCTGTTCAGAACTTATCATATTTTGACAGTCAAGGGAATGTCATATGGGGATTTGGGATAACTAATAGCCTAGGAAGAGTCCTCTGAAAGAAGCTTACAGGTAGCTGCCATTTTTAACATTGTTGTCAAAGAGTAAATACTGGTGAACTTGTTTCTTTTGCTTTACTATATTTTAATCTGTAGTATGGAGTAATGTTCATTGAGCTTGGATTGCATATTTAACACAATCTTGGTTATGATATTTTAACAACTGATAAAGTTAGCTGTACGTTTAAGGAGAATATAGCGTATTTCTTTATACTGCTATATAAAATTATTTCATGGGATTTAATCTACAAAATCATTATCACTGTTCATAACTTTATTTTGATCTTACGTTTGCCCAGCCAATAGTTGTGTCATAATCAAGAATTGTCAGGATATTTCATAACTCTTAAGGAAGAAAAAGTAGACTTATTAACAAAATAACTGCAATTTAATTTGAGGAATGACACTAATTAAGTAGTTAAGGGTATTGCTATGAACCAAGGAAAAGATATGAAGTTATTTTTTATATTGCATTTTCCCCAAAATACTTTTCTGTAATTTTTATAAAAAATATTATTTTATATAGAGCTCTGGAAAGGACCAGTATAAATCACTGTTATCTTTCCTGACTTTTATTTCTCTTCACTTTTACTTTTTCTAAATTTGAAATAGGAAGATGCCCTTGTTAAAAAAAATAAGATATCATTTCTGGACTTTCATATCCTAGTCTATTAATTTGACTTCGTTTTCCCAAAATTTTTAACTTAATTAGAGGTTTGTATTGAGGAGTGTGTGGGAACTAACTTCCTTCCTTAATGCAGGACTGGTATCATTGTCTAAGTACACCACACATGGATTGAAACCATAAGAAAAGCCCTTTCCTTCATTTTACAGTTTTGTAAATCATAAACCAGTAAGATCTTGGCATTAATCACAAGTTTTTAAACTTTCTGATAATGATTTTAAGTATTAATTATTTCTTCTAGTTTTAAGACAAAATGCCTTATTTTTTAAAGATGTAAAATCATGATGAAATTAGTACTGTAAAAAATATCAAATTTTGGAAGTATCTTCAACCTTTCAAACTCAGGTACTCTTATGTGTACAGAAAACACTCTACTTGTATTTTTAGTAAGTTGGAAATAGACTTTTATGTGATTCCTAAAGAGATCTAGAAGTAAAACCAAGAGTTTATTTGCTTAGTGACTTAAAAACTGTGTTAGTGCTTTTTCTAAGGATGAAAGGAGAGAAGAGGCAGTAAATAAAGCTATTTTATTCCTTTTTTGTTTTTGTCATAGAAATTCCTTACTCATTATTTTTTTGTAAAACATTTTAGTGGACTATTGGGGAAAGATATTTCTGTTTTAATTGGGAACCATTAGTGTGAAGTCTGTGATGCTTTTGACATCAGATAAAATTACTAATGGATTACTGAATTAAAAAGTGTACTCAAAGCTAGTTTTCAGAGAATATATCAAAATTTCAGAGAATATATCAAAATTTCAGAGAATATATCAAAACCACGAAATTCTGTCGTGGTTGGTTGTTTTAACTTTTTATTTATTTTTTTGGTGTGCACATGGCTATAAACACATTTGAACTTTAGTTTAAAATACAGCAAGAACTTCAGTATGTCGAGTGAGGTATATCAAAGTACTTTATAGAAAGGTATCTTGCAGAAATGCTGTGAGGTCTTTTCTCACTAAAATCAAATTTGGAAGAATAGAGAAATTTTGCTACTATATATGCATAGGTTAAAGCATTACACTTAATATATACATAGAATAAAAGCTTAATTTAAAATTAGTTGATAAATTTAAATTAGTAGTGTGGGTTCTGTCATATTCCCCATGACCAACCTTCAAAATGACCAATCTTTACTAGAACCACCTAAATCCGAATCTAGTTAGTTTATGTGATAGAGCTCATTAGGAAAAAAAAGGAAGAACTTTACCTTTTTGTAAAAGAAGTCTCTTATTTGGCTGGTAATATATCTCCTTTTCATGTTATCTTAAATAATGTTCCAGTCTTTCAAACCTTAACACTTTAATGCACATGAGAGTCTTAAAATTTACACAGGCTGCCCTCGAACTGCTGGGCTCAAGTGATATCCACCCCCCCACCCCACCCCCCCAGCCTCCAAAACAGCTGGGACTCCGTGCAGGCACTGTTGTACCCAGCTAGGTTTTAAAAATTAGAGTGGCGTTTTCTGAATTATTAGGAGCAGTGTGTTGTTTGTTTCATTCTTACAGAAAACTGCATTCTTTTTTTTTTTTTTTTTTTTTTTATTATTATTATTTTTTTTTTCATTAATCAGTAGTTTTTATTATGGTTTTGTGGGGTACAGTTAAGGGTAGGTGTACAATGACGTTTCATTCAGGCACCCTGTAGATAAGAAGTGTTTTCCCATCCCCCGACAGATATTTGCTACTGAAAACTGCATTCTTAACTTAGTCTGATTTGTATAATGCTTTGCTTAACTAGTTTATCATTTTACTGATCATTGTTACATTGATCACCATTTATCCAATAACAAACTTCTAGTGATTTGTTCTAATAAAATCATTGCTGTGATGGTGAAGGAGCTCTTACTGCATCCTTCTCTGGGCCAGACACGTGTGCGAGGCATCCCTTCATTTAATTGGGAAGTTGTTTCTTGATCTGCTCTCACTGTCCCACTGTGAATGTTAAAAAATCTTTACTTCTCTATCTATTCTAGTGGAGGCTTTATAGAAATTCCTGATTTGAGGAGATATAACTCTGACCCAAAGGAGATTTAATAAGAAACTGAAATCCTCCCTTTAGGAAATAGATTCAAGTAAGAAGGGCAGCTAACTTTTATGGTACCTGTCCTATCCTAGACACTACAATGTCAGTTGTATGCTTATATTATTTCATCTCATTATACATACACAAAATGGCGATTAGGTAGTTAAATGTTAATTTTTGCGTATAAGGAAAAGTAGGAAAGTAAGGAATTAGAAAGTGTGATGTAAAATGTTCAAAATGGATTAAAAGGTTAATAGTGACCTATATGTAGCACAAACTCTGAAATTTAGTCTAATCTTGTCCCGCAGCAAACCCTTTTGTTCTGATCCTTTTTGATTGCTATCATGACATACATTTCAACTTATGTTCATCTAAACAGTAGTTGAAGTTATTCTTTTTACTTTGTTGTGGCATTAAGTGCTGTAATGAAGGAACTTGTCTAAATGTGAAATTAGTATGTATATTCAGTTCTGTAAATATATAAACATATATCAAATTATTTAAATGTACTAGTTTTTATTTTATTATTTCCTTCTCTAACTTAGAAATGTCCTACATGTTTTCATAAAAATTGCTTTCAACTCTCACCATAAATCAGTTAGCATAAGTCACATATTGCATTTTACTCTGAGAGTATGGATGTTACCAGATTTCACATTGTTTGAAACAACAGTTATTTATTTGCAAGGCACAAAATTAAACACTATCAAAGGAACTTTTCATACTAAGTTTTTCTACATGATGTCTGCCAGTACAATACTTTTTGGGGTAAAGTTTGTTATTGGGATTCTAAAATGTTTCTTTCACAGTATTTTTACACAAAAACAAAAAAACAGTTAACATTGTTTGGCTTCAGTTGCACAACAATTTTGAGTAGTTTATTAATTAATTATACTTTAATACATTTATATTCATTCTTTGATATGTATCTTTTTTATTTTTAAGTGAATGCCAGTGTTTGAGACATTAATCATAAAAGATAATACATCTACAAATGGGGTGAGCAACAAGGTATCAACAGTCAAATATCTTTTTAGTATAGTGCTAGTTTGTTAATACTTGATTTTAAGTTGATTTTGAATGACTCACTATTTGAATTGTATATTTCATGATCATACTACTCTAATTCAGATATTTAAAAGAGTGCTTTCTAGTAATTTTGAAAATGTATTTTGTGATTGTTTCTCTTTTTTATTTGAAATGGCAAAAATGTTGTTAACTTTAAATTCTGGATATATTTAGAGCATGTCCAGTCTTCATGTATATTACTCATAATTTTTTTAAAAAAAGAATTAGCTTTAATTTTCAGTTCTTTTCTCAAAATTTTACTAAATTTGAGGATAAATATTAGAGTAGAATTTCTGCCATAATAACCTTTCTTCGATGTGTTGCACTTCTGTAGTAAAGTTACTATGCACGTTTATGTCTTGGCTATTGAGTTAATTTATTAACAAGTGCTAAATATAACATTGGAGTGCTTAACCACAGCTATGTTGAATGCTGCACAGTTCTATCACAGGAGAAAGGAGGATAGTGCAGTATATTATGAAAGTAATTGTAATGTGTAGTGTGTAATTACATGTAATATGTAATTATTTCATAATGGCACCTTGAACAAAGTATTGCAAAGGTAATTAAAATGTTGTTCGCAACTGGAGTTGTAAAGTTATTGAAGTACCTGCCCTTCTTGGTGAAGCCTAACTTTTATGCTAAAGATGAAGTGAAAGCTGGATTAATGTTCTTGGTTTTGTTTCATTTGCAGGTGGAGGTCTAGCTGTTGGAACAGTCCTGCTAATTGGTTAGTATAAAATAATACTTTCTTCTGCCTATCACAGCTTTCTATTGTGCATAATGATTTTATAGATTTCCCATTGTGGAATTAAATATTTAAGCTATTAACTCTCTATAGAGGTTAAGGTAAATTAGAGTGGAATTGCCTTAAGTTCTAATTTAAATCCTAATGTTGATTTGAACTTACAATAAATTAGGCAAATATATTTGAAATGTAGCCTCATCATTTAAAAATGTTTATAGTGCCTTGTGTTCCATTTTTATTTTAAAGACTAAAATTAATGTCAATTTATTTAGGGTCTCAGTGTTTACAGAAAAATTTTTACAGTGATTAATAAGAGAAATTGATGTGCTGAATTTGTTGTATATATCACAGAATTTGTCATTATTGTCTTTTTATTGAAAGAAAAGCAAAAAAAGGAAATCATTTTTTGTTCATCATTAAAGCGACAAGAGTTCTTATTTAAATATATAACCCTGTATGCCTTTTTTTTTTTTTTTTTTTAGTATAATCACAGGATCGTGGAATTGAAATAAATCTTGGCAGTTATAATCAAAGTGCCCATATGAATGTTTAATCCATATACCTATAACCTATTATTATTTCTAGTTTTGTCCTCTGATACAATACAGAATGAATCTACCAACTTTTTTATGTGACACCCTTAAGAATATTTGAAAATAGCAGTTTTATCACCTCAAATCATTTCCAAACAGCATAGACATTGTTTCTTAACTTCTTAACTTGGATTTTATGTGTCAGGGTTTTCCTGATTGTTCTCTTGATGCACCTTCTAGTTTGACATTGTCTCTTGAACCATGCTCAGAAATAAATACAACATTCCAAATTTAGTATAACCTGTATGCACCATACTGAGACTACATAATGTGAAAATCTAGATAGAATTATTAGTGCAAGGTAACAATAAAGGTTATTTTATGTTCATTGACTTCTCTTAAGTTAACAAAGAAAAGTGGTAAATATTTTGGAAGAATTTGCCCCTGGAATGATTAAAATCAAAGTAGTGGTGGGTGAAATTTGGCATGTACATAATCATTTGTCTAATAAATGAAGCACTGTTGTATTCGGAAATTTCAAGAGTTATATAGAACATCTCATTCCCTATCTGTACTGGATAATTGAAGAGTAATAGTATCATTAGTGAGAGCTGTTTTTTTCAACTCTTATTGTGGGTCATGTACTGTGCAAAGTGTGTTCTGCGTGGTTTTTCATTGAATACAACAACCATGAGAGATACTAACTGTAATCCATGTATTCTTGAGAAAATGAGGCTCAGAGGCATGAGATAATTTTCCGTTTCCCATAGTTAGAGAACCGGCATTTGAATTCTGTCATGACTTCAAAACCTGTGGTTTTTAATAATGTAGCTCTCCTAAAGGTTGTATTTAATAGCCACAAATAATAAAAAAGGAATTATATCCCTTTTTAGAATACTAATTTTTTTTTAGTCTAGATCTAACTCTTTTGCCCATGTTGGGGTGCAGTGGCATGATTTCTGCGCACAGCAGCCTCGACCTCCTGGGCTCGACCTTTGCTTCCAGCTCAGCCTCCCAGGTAGCTGGGACTATAGGTGTGCACCACCACGCCTGACTAATTTTTTGATTGTAGAGACGAGGTTTTGCTATGTCACCCAGGCTGGTCTCAAGCTCCTGGGCTCAAGCAGTCCTCTTACCTTGGTCTCTTAAAGTGCTAGGATTGCAGGCATGAGCCACTGTGCCTGGCTTAAAGTTTTAAGTAGTAAAGTAGAGCTACATTTGTGAAGATTTTTTTCTTTTAATGAATTTTAAGATTTCCAAACACGAAAGAGTCCTTAGTTAATGCACAATAAAGATAGAAATTGCAGCACAGTAAAAAATCCTTGTTTCACATAATCAGCATTTCTCCATTCCAGTCAGAAAGTTTTGTCTTTAAAGTAATAAAATGATATTTAGTAACTGCTGATGAGATCTCCAGGAGTACAATATTTGCTAAGAATTGGCTTGTTTGACTGTAGCTTATTCCTATTAAGATATAATACATTAATTTTCTTAAATCATGTCACTTAATCAATTTGGTCCTGTGTTCACACAGTCCAACAGTTAATTTCAATGTAGCTGTTGGCTGCAAAGTATCTGCCAATTTCTTGCCAATCATTCACTTTGATCACTACAGTATAATCTTCTAGAAATTTACCTGGAGTCTAGTGCCAACCTCTCTGGATAGTAGGCAACTTTTAGTAAAAGTGAAATATGTCTTATAAAATATTTAGGTCACCCATGAATCTTGAAAGTACTATTTATGGACTTGGAAGACAGGATTATTTCTAACGGTACATATCAGAGGGAAAAGATAGCCAGTGATCAAGAAATTCTAGAAGTGGCAATCTCAGTCACAGTTAAAATTTATATTTCAGTAAATAATGAAGTTTTTGTTGCAAAAATAACAATGAACCAGTCTGATATAAATAAGCACATAAAATACAAAAGGATATGGAAGGAAAACTGGGTTACTCTTCAGTTCCTCAGCCTTCCGACCCAGAGATAATAATATCCTGAGTAGCCCATCTGAGTATTCATGCATATGTAATACACATGGGAACATTCAGCACCTTGCTTTTCCACTTAATATATCTTAGAGATTGATCCATGTACATTTATATAGATGTAACTCATTCTTGTTAACAACTGCATATGACTTCATTGTATAGAAGTACAATAATTTATTGTAATAGTTCTCTACTGAACAATTTAATTTCATTTTTTTCGATTACTAACCATGCTATTGTGGGTAATCTTGTATGTAATCTTTGCATACATATGTAAACATTTATAGAATAAATTCAAAGATGTAGACTTGCTTGATTGAAGCATGTTAAATTTTGTTAGAAATTATTAGATTGTTTTTGCTGGACGCAGTGGCTCACACTTATAATCCCAGCACTTTGGGAGGCACAGGTGAGAGGATTGCCTGAGTCCAAGACTTCGAGACCATCCTGGGCAACTTGGTGAAACCTCATCTCTACAATAAATAAAAAAAATTAGCTGGATGTGGTGGTATGCACCTGTAGTTCCAGCTACTTAGAATGCTGAGGTAAAAGGATCCCCTGAGCCTGGCAGGTCAAGGCTGCAGTAGCCAGAAGCATGCCGCTGCACTCCAACCTGGACGACAGAGTGAGACTCTGACTCTAAATAAATAAACAAAGAGAAATTGTTAGATTGTTCTTCCAAGAGGATATGCTATCATATACTCTAACCGACAATCAACCCTCAGTTATAAGAATGCCTTTATCCTTATCTCCCCCTTGACAACACTGTACATCATTCAAATTTTAATATTTACCAGTTCATATGGATTACATCAGATTCTCCACTTTTCCCCATTCCCATGTCAGTGTGACTTGTACATTGAATGAAATCCACCTTAAGACACGGAAGCATAGTTCCAAAACATAAACTGAATATGGTGATGTTAGTTCAGTGGTTGAGAGCCTAGTGCATTACTATTTGCTCATCACTGAAAGGTGTCTTTTTTTTAACTCCAAGAGTAAGAAAATTAAAGCATGAAGATTATTTGCATTAATAACCTTTTACCATGGATTGCCAACTTTTTAACCATTTTCTCATGAGATAGTTTACATTTACTAAGGTAGTTTTATTTGTGAGTAGGTATTTGTGCATGAATGGGGGCTTTCAGAGTGGTGTATTTGCAGTTTCAGTAGCAATGTAACCATGGAAACAAACTAATGAGCACTGCCACAAAAACCCAGAGTAAGTCTACTGTAGACCTTCTGAATCCAGCAAAATACATAAATGTGAATACAAGAAAGGCCATTTCCTGAGGAACAAATTGAAGAACTAATGGACTCTTACATTTACTTTAAAAGTTGAAGATAGTTGTCAATTAAAAAAAGTTTTAAAAATAGAAGTAGACTTTTTTTTAAAACACTTAATTCTTAAGAACTGATATAGACTTTGAGATGTTTTATTTAAATTGCTTTCTGGCAATGTGGTTCATAAATTTGAGACACCTTAGAAGTATCTAAAGTGATAGCATAAATATTTATAATTAACACAGTCTCTTTTTAAATAAAAGATCTTGATCTATTTGCAAAGATGTTGAGTATCAAACAGGCTTAGAAGTTGTCAACAAATACACATGATGTGACATTTATGAATGCATTATTTTAAGAATAATCTTAACACTACATAATTTTAATTCTAGAAGTGGAAAATAAGTAATCTGTTTTTGGACAATTAATTGCAACTAGTTATCAGTTTAATTTGTAGCAGTTACCTATTTCTGTTTAACAATATTAACACAAACTTAGCAGCTTAAAGACAACATATATTTATCATCTCATAATTTCTAGGGGTCAGACATCTAGGCACAACTTTGCTGGGTCCTCAGTAAGCCTGCATTAAAGTTGTCAGCCAGGGCTGTGTTCTCATCTGAAGGCTTGGCTGGGGGAGGATTTGTTTTCAAGCTCACATGGTTGGCAGGGGTCAGGTTCTTGATGGCTGTCAGCCAGAGGTTGTACTCTTCACAGGGCAGCTTCCAAGATTATTATTTCTTCAAAACCAGCAAGGAGGAATGTCTCTCAACAAGATAAATGGTATAGTCTTATGGAACAGAAGTGACATCCATCACATTTGCCATAATCACTTGTTTAGAAGAGTGTCACAGGTTCTACTGCACTCAAGGGGAAAGGATTACACAAAGGCATGAGTACCAAGGGGTCACCTTAGATTGTGTCCACTACCCTTTTCATAATTTTAATTTGTTATTATTTCCCATAAAAACAAAAACTAAGCACTCTCAAGAGTCCTTTCAGGGTAGTAGTAGTATTTCTTGCCTGTTGTCTTCAACCTTTTCTAGTTTGCTGGGCTAGTTTTTCTTTCACATAATTCTGAACTTTTTCCTCATTTTACAGGTTGGCCAGCTACAGCCTACTGGCTGGTCACCTATTTGTATAAACAAAGTTTTGTTGGCTTCAGCCTTGCTTGTTC